AGGAACAGTGAATGGCAGGGACTATAAATGTACTGCAAAATGCAGGTCTTTATCTAGACCCCAACCTTCCCCTATTTTTAAATAATTAAAGCAGCTGTGTTTTATTTATTTATTTTATTCAGGCTCATATAGCTACTACAGATACAACACCTGGTTTTCTTCATATGTTTGGGCATGCACAGTCACTTTGCTTTGTGCAGAGAGCCACTATTTTTCTATGTAGGTACTATGGAATTACCTGCTGTTGGTAAAAAAGGTATCAGTCTACTCCATCATCAGTGACATAAACATTGTTCATTATTTCTTAAACAAAGTGTTACAAGTTTGGGCTCATTAGAAGTTAAAATGTGGGAAGGAATGAGGATGGAAAAATTTCCTATTAACGGAAAGGATCCACAATATTTTGTAATATTTAATGTCTAAAAATGTTTCTGCTGAATAAAGTTCATACAGTAAATCATTTACTGTTGAAAGCTATTGGAGTACATGTTGGAATGTATTTTGTATTGCAACAACTACAGAAGTATTCAGCCAGTAGATGGCAGTGTTTAGTTTGCATCTATGGTTATAATCTATGGTTCCTTTTGTTCTGAGGAGAGTTTCCTGTTACAGTTGAAAAACCGCTAAGCAGCAAAGCCCATGGTGACAGTACACTGTACATTTTATTTGATCTGTATGGCTATGTAACAATTTTCTGCTACCAATCTGTATGGCTATATAACAATCCAGAGTTTGAGAAATCTGGTTCTATTTCTCACATTCTGTGAGAGCTTGTTTGAATTTGATGCTTTCAACAAAGTAGGATGCTTTTTTTTTTTGCTCTATACTTTCATCACTTCCAGGTCACACTGCAGCCTGACAGTACCATTGTTTGATAATAGCCAAGAATTATTAGGCAGTATATCCAGTCCTCTCATTGGCACGAAAAAGAAAAATTCTGTAGGTTTACGTGTATAAGTGCTTAATACCCCATTTACCCTCTGAAATTGCAATTCAAGAACCTTTCTATATCCTTATTTTGCAAGGAAGAACATTTTTAAAATGTGTTCAAATTATCTTCTCTTTCTAAAACATGCCCAAGTAAATCTATCTTTCCTTATTTATAGAAAGTAGGTTTTGCATTGGTAAATAGGCAGTAAAAAAGAAGCTAAATATACTGTTTCCCTCACACACTCCCAAGTGTTAGCAGAATGACTTTCAGAATTAGATGCACTGAAAGCAACAAAGTAGATTAGGACATTATGGGAATTTGTTTTCAAACATTAACATATATATTCATTGAAAATTAAAATCCAGACACACCCATAAATCATTTCTCTGACTCTAAGCAGCTTCCAGCCCGCAGCTGTTTTGTTAAACAGCACATCTGGTGAATGCAATTGTTGTTATATCTTGATGAGTTAACTCTCTTGCCAGGCATATGGTGATTTGCATGATACAGAGATCACAAAGTCTCTCTTGCAAGAGTTGCAGTTTGTTGGAATTTCCTCAGTGAATCAGGGCTTGCACGTACACCATCTATCAACATTTACAGCTACTTTAATTACAATTGTAGAGCCAAGGCCATTAGGACAAATTGCACTTTGCAATGCTACTATAAATCTGATGTAATGTCATCGATTTTGGGGCAGCTACCTCGGATTTACAGCAACGTAGGGGAAGAAAAAAAAAACAAAAAACAGAATCCTGTTCAATATGTCCAAAGGCAGTGGAGTGGTAAATGATACAAAATTTTCACATCAAAGACCAAGGGATCATGATCTTTCTCCTAGTTGGACTTTTTACCCTTGATAATACAACAGTTTACTCAAAAATCTTCCTTTCATCTGGCAGGAAAGATAGTAACCTTTGTTCTCTAGTGTCAGATGACCAGTGATATATATAAGTAACAATATACTGCAGTTCAAATACAGAGCTTGGTCTGACAATATACTATGCTTTTATGAGATTTCTCTGATATTCTAGGTGGGATTTTCAATATTAGGGAAAAAAAAAGAACCACAGATGAAAAGGTTGGAAGGACTGATACAGTACAGTTTGAACCACAATGCTATCTTGTTTCCTTTATCCTTAGAAAGAGTTGGACAGATGTGAAAGTCAAGGTTTGTATGAACTGCATTAAAAAAGATCCTGTTTTGCTTCACTGGAGTATTAAATTATTATGGAATTTTGGACTGCTTTAGGAAGTTTGAGATCAGTATATCTACCACAAGCCATTTATCTTGTAAACTACATTTGAATGTTTCAAGCAAGAATGAAAAGCACTGTATTATATCCAGCAAAAGACTTGCATAGCCCATTATTCTACTTCTAAGTGGCCAGCAAGATATTGAGGGAAAGTTTAAAGTAGGGCATATTTTATATTAACTCATACCTTGTGACGATCAAAAGTATTCGCATTCTAAAATTGCATAAATCATGGAAGATCTGTAACTAATGTTATAGAAGATCTAGGGAGATGCCAATGATGCTGGATTTCAAATGGGATCCATTTTTCTAATGGAAGATAATGTTATGTCTGAGTACATAAAGTATATGTACTATATACAGTTTACACACACATATATATACTCCTAAGCAGATAGAAAATGGAAACTATCATAATAAGGCAGCTCTGGGCAATCCAGGAAGAATTCTAATATTCCTAATCTAGTTACAGGCAAGTAGAAACCTCATTGGCAATATATTTTTAGTAGTATGACAGGCTCACCAGATATGCAGAAAAGGCTTACCAAGTTAAGTGTTAAAGTCAGATTCAGAAAAACTGAATACAGTTCACTGAGCTCAGTAAATACAATCATAGTTTTCTTTGGAGCACATTCTAGATTATTCAGGTGCTGGGAATTTACAGAGAGAGGGATTACATATCTGAATTTTTCCCAATGAGAGGAAAAAAAACCTCTATATATATATTTTTTAAAAAAGCATGTGAAGGTGAACAATGCATTACCCTGAAATACCAGCTTTTAAAGTAAAAAGAGTCCTGCTGATGAGGCTTTATTTATTTTGGTGGGGAGAAGACATAAATACCTCAAGTAATTTATTTATTTTTTTAAAAAATCATACTTCTGCTAAAGAAAAAAAAATTCTCTCTGGCAAAAATGTTAATATAGGATCATGCCTTGGAGGTAGTGTCAAAGCCAAGTAAATTGAGTAGCTTGCCTAACGGGCAAACAAATGACAAGAAGATGCCCACCTAGATTTAAAATGTCAATAGATGAATTATATGATGCAAAACAGACACTTTTTCAGACATACATACAGAGTCAAGATTTTCAGAATTTTCCAAAGTTGTAGGGGTTGCGGGAGTTCTATTTTTTTAAAAAAATATATCAAGCCTCCTTATTTTAGGACCAATGCTGCAGCTTTCCCATTTTCTACTAAAACGAAAACCTGTTCTAAGTTTTGCAATTAGGATTGGAGAATATTTTGAGTGGTGTTTCTCAACCTTGGTCACCTTAAGATGTGTGGACTTCAACTCCCAGAGTTCCTAAAATATGTCAAAGCAGCTGTTTTGGAACAAAAAGTTCTACCAACATTATTGAGCAAAGACTGAAGAACTGACATATATCAGAAGATTTCAGAAGTTCTCCACAAACACAATTGGTTTTTAATTGTAAATTCATATGGTATTTGCAATGTGTCTTAGATGTAACCTGCATTGCCATAACTTACTTCATCTCCCCACCTCATCTCTCATCAATCTAAATCATCCATTAGTTTATCTACTCCATTAATTTAACAATGATCTGTAGTTAACAACATTTGTGGCTTTAGTCTTATTTAAGTATTAGTCTGAAAAGACGCTACCAGTCTCCTTCTGATTCAAGACACAAAGTGTCTTCTTAAGTACCAGCATTTCTTTTGGCAATACAGGGATGTATTACTTCATTTCTCTTAGGGCAGTGTCTGCTGGCTGAGGAATTCTGGGAGTTGAAGTCCACACATCTGGCAGCTGCCAAAATTGAGAAACAATGGCCCATGATAAGACCTACAATTTTTCTACTGCATTTTTCCTGAAATAATAAATGAGTGGTATGTTAATATTAAGTATAATGGAGACCTATTTGTATATGCATGTGTACATAAACATAATTATAATCTGAAAGCTATTATGTGTGTGAAAAGGAATGGCCACTAAGAAATTATTCTCATCTCCTCAAAACCTCACTGTCACAACTCTTATCATTTAAAATTAAGCTGAGTTTTTTCCCCACTCAATCCTAATCTTAATATGCAGCAACTCCAAACAATTTTATTACTGAAACTATCATAAATAGACTTCAGAATTTTATAAAAGCATGAAACGAGGAAAATACAAGTCAGTCTAAATAAAGTACAGAAGGGTTTTATTTATTATCATTTTCTTTTTTATATAAATTAAATAAATCTCCAGAAAGTTTGAATTTGTTATTAGGGAAATGTATTATAATATTTTATGTAAGCAAATTTTTCTGTCCCCCCAAAGATATCTTTTTGTGAAGACCTTTTCAGTGGGGAATGAAAAGTTCTCACAGTCTTTGTTCATTTTAGGCTTTCTGGCATGCCACATTTTGCTAAAATCTATGGAGTTCTAATATCTTCTTATCAAGGACTGAAATTAGTGAACATTATGGGTGCGCTCCTGTAGTTTCCAATTCAGAAAGAAAGAGTGGAATGAATCAATAGGCAGCCCAGCCAATCAGTATGTTGAAGAAGTCTCTGGATGGATGAGAAAGGCTTTCAAAATAAGTCTTTTTGATATGTGTGGCTGGAAATAAATGCATGCTTATGAAATGTAAGTTATTGTAAGAACTGCCAAGAGTTTCCACTGGTACAAAAGGTCAATGACATTCTCCAGAAGACATACAAGTTGTGGGCAGAGCCTGTTGCTATGCTTTTCTCATATAATCTTTATGCAGAATTTACATCACATTTAATCATTTATTGACAACTGATTTTTGCTTCTAAAATTACCGTGATCCATTTTTTAAAAAATAAAAATAAAAATCATGACTTACAGTTTACTGTGACTTTTACTTTTTTCACATCTGGAACTGAGACATCATTTTCAGCACTACATTCATACTCCCCAGCTTGGTCTCTTGTAATTCCATAGATGTCCAAGTATTGTCCACTTTCAAAGGGTTTGGCTGAAATGAAAGAAGAACAAGATGTTGAACATAGGAAATCTGAGGGAAAAGGAACTGGAGCTGAATGAATCTTATTCAGACATAAACAATGCGCTACACAAAAGTTCTGCTGACAGAACTATTTCTAAAATGAAAAATGGGTACATTTTACTTCTTTTCTTGTGCTCAGAAAACAATCTCACACTGTACAACTGTAATGGTATGTGGAAAAGACTTTGGGAATTTGGGCAAAGAGACACTTCCAGGGGAATGGTCAGATAAGAAACAGCAAAACTGGAAACTGGGTAGTGGGAGGGGGGGAGAAACTCAGAAGAGACCCTCCCTAGCTTTAGGGAGGCAGGGAGAAGAACTGCATTTTCGGGCTTGCAAGATTCTGTCAATATAGCTTTACAATAAAGCAGAATAAATTAATTTGATTGTGATTCCTAATTGGTTTATATCAAGTGGCCCACAATAATCTCATTTTAGCAGCAGTATTATAACAGTGACTAGTCCATGAAACAGTTTAGCATTACCTAACTTCAGCATACTACAAATAATTCTATGCCCATTTGGCAGTTGAGTTGAACAGCCTTCTAGCTGGTAAGATGAATATACCTCAGTTTACATTGATTTTTATAGAATATGAAGTTGCACTTGGAATAAAAAAAATTATTTGATGCATACACCAAATTTTTTCAATGGAAAATTATTTCATTCTGACCTAAGATTTTTAATCACACTATTCAGTTACAGTTTCAATATCTATTATGTTATAGCTGAAGCATATAGTCTATGTTCCTTCTTTCAAAATCAAGAAACCGAATAGCAAGACAATAATATATCAACAGTAAATGCCTCAGGCTTTTTTAAAAACTCACTTTACTTGTTTTACTTAAACTACTGTACTCACAGATCCTTTCCAAACTTGGGTCACTGTAGTGTTATCATATTGAACATGGAGATTTATCTAACCACAAAGAACTACAGTAGTTCCATATAAGTATGAAAAAAGAAGCAGATCTAAAATGCATGACTCTAAATCATAGCATCAATACAGTCCAATATGTTATAAGCAGTTAGAGTCATAGGGGAACATTTGTCTAACAACAATATATCATTCTGACGGTTCTAATTATGTGTTGAATCTTGTTCAACTTAATTCTTAATATAACTGATTTGGAAATAAATCCTTGAAATAAAGCCCTATCTAAAATTGAGACTACACCCAGACATCTTCTCCAAGAAGTAGCTGTGGCAACAATCATTTTCCAAAGATAAATATTATTCTGATTCAAATATGTTGCATACTACAATGACTGGAGACACTCCACATGCCACATAAAAACTGAACAACCCACCTTCTGGCAAAAGCTGTACGCCTACTATTTCTTTTTGAACCTACCAGATTCTAAGAGAAATGGGACTTACCCTTGAATATACAATATAATTCAAAGCTTTCTACACCATTTTGAAGCTATGAAGTTGTGTCTCATTAAACTTTAAATCTGATATGATCTTCTGAGAAGAATTGAGAAGCTTCACATTTTAAAGAGCAGAACTTGAGTTACATGCGATTATTCTCATTGTCCCGCTTATACACACATTCATCCAAACACATTTAGCTAGCTTCTCCTATTTCCTTTCCTTATTTTTCCTTGTTCCTCTTCCTTTCTATCCCTTTTGCTACAACTCTCCATTCCAAAATCCAGTTTTGAAGCACTTTCTACAAGGTCCTTAGGTTCTCTAGCCAATCATTTGATCATTTAATCAGTAACTATATAATTTGACCTGAAAGAGATGGAAGAGCTCAATGCAATATCAAGAAACATAATTACCCCACTATATCCCAAGGTTAATAAAGACCATTCCCCTTGAATGTTTCCAAATAATCACAACCAAGAACTATTTTATGTTTCCTTTATTATTCTTTGTTATGCTTAGCTCCCCAAGGTTTCCACATCACAATCTCTCACAACTTATTTAAAAACCATCCTTGCTCCATCACTTTATAGTTTTATTATTCTTGTTAGCACAGTCACTCAGTTAAGGTTTAGAGAACAGTGCACTCATTTTCTTTTCATGAACACTTTTTATTTTAAGAAAATTCTGTTTTAATTTTCATGCCCAAAGTCTACTATGTGCATGCTGTCTTTCAGCAAAAGTTTGTTATAGTTGTAAGTTTTCCAGGTACATTATAAAAATATGAATTTGAGTTTATAGATAAATGAAGGCAAGAGTGTATTCTTCCAAAGAATAAATATAAAATAAATAAAACAAAGCAAAATAGTTATAAGCTAGGAAAAAAATGCCAAGTTCAGTCTTTCAGTAGTAAGCCACTTTAAGTAGTATTTGGTAACACCTAAAAAAGTCATGGCTGGACAGCATATCCATTAATTCCAGTAGGGTAGAGTTGAGAAAAACAGACACACAACTGCTCAGCCCAAAGCTGATACAACTGTGTGATTTCATCCAGTAGGATAAATTTGTATAATTTGGCAAGTAACATTGGTATCGGTTTTAACTTTGCCATTTTTTGGGCTGTTTTCCTAGATAATTTAGATCATTCCAAGTGAAATAATGTATAAATGATAGTTTAATACAAACATAAGCCTCAGAAAAGCAAATGTAAAGAGAGATAAAACAGGGGGAAAACAATTAATGGTACAAAATAGATTGCAGTGGAATTTTTTATTTTTGTCTCCCCTCCCCTTTTTTGGATGGAAAGAATGCATTATNGGACACGGATCCAACAAACATGTGGTTGCATTGAGCCTCCCCAGGACCCTGTCCACGTCCTCGGGCGAAACAGAGTCAAACTCCTCCCATTCAACCGTCTCAAGACCTGCTTCCGTCTCCTCCCCCTGGGCCAACCAGTCGGAGTCCAAGCCTTCTCGGATCCGCGCGACTTTGTCATGCAGATATTGAGCGAAATCCTTGGCCCTCCCCTCCAGGGGGTCCTCCCCCCCCCTCAATTGAAGGAGGGAGCGGGTCACCCTGAAGAGGGCGGCCGGGCGACTATCTGATGACGCGATGAGTGAGGAATAGTAGTTAGTCCTAGCCACTCTCATCGCCACTAGGTAGGATCTAACATGTGTCCTTACCTGTGTTCGCGCGGATTCGGTTATGTTATAGCTGAAGCATATAGTCTATGTTCCTTCTTTCAAAATCAAGAAACAGAATAGTAAGACAATAATATATCAACAGTAAATGCTTCAGGCTTTTTTTTTTTTTACTCACTTTACTTGTTTTACTTAAACTACTGTACTCACAGATCCTTTCCAAACTTGGGTCACTGTAGTGTTATCATATTGAACATGGAGATTTATCTAACCACAAAGAACTACAGTAGTTCCATATAAGTATGAAAAAAGAAGCAGATCTAAAATGCATGATTCTAAATCATAGCATCAATACAGTCCAATATGTTATAAGCAGTTAGAGTCATAGGGGAACATTTGTCTAACAACAATACAGTATATCGTTCTGACGGTTCTAATTATGTGTTGAATCTTGTTCAACTTAATTCTTAATATAACTGATTTGGAAATAAATCCTTGAAATAAAGCCCTATCTAAAATTGAGACTATACCCAGACATCTTCTCCAAGAAGTAGCTGTGGCAACAATCATTTTCCAAAGATAAATATTATTCTGATTCAAATATGTTGCATACCACAATGACTGGAGACACTCCACATGCCACATAAAAACTGAACAACCCACCTTCTGGCAAAAGCTGTACGCCTACTATTTCTTTTTGAACCTACCAGATTCTAAGATAAATGGGACTTACCCTTGAATATACAATACAATTCAAAGCTTTCTACACCATTTTGAAGCTATGAAGCTGTGTCTCATTAAACTTTAAATCTGATGTGATCTTCTGAGAAGAATTGAGAAGCTTCACATTTTAAAGAGAAGAACTTGAGTTACATGCGATTATTCTCATTGTCCCGCTTATACACACATTCGTCCAAACACATTTAGCTAGCTTCTCCTATTTCCTTTCCTTATTTTTCCTTGTTCCTCTTCCTTTCTATCCCTTTTGCTACAAGTCTCCATTCCAAAATCCAGTTTTGAAGCACTTTCTACAAGGTCCTTAGGTTCTCTAGCCAATCATTTGATCATTTAATCAGTAACTATATAATTTGACCTGAAAGAGATGGAAGAGCTCAATGCAATATCAAGAAACATAATTACCCCACTATATCCCAAGGTTAATAAAGACCATTCCCCTTGAATGTTTCCAAATAATCACAACCAAGAACTATTTTATGTTTCCTTTATTATTCTTTGTTATGCTTAGCTCCCCAAGGTTTCCACATCACAATCTCTCACAACTTATTTAAAAACCATCCTTGCTCCATACACTTTATAGTTTTATTATTCTTGTTAGGACAGTCACTCAGTTAAGGTTTAGAGAACGGTGTACTCATTTTCTTTTCATGAACACTTTTTATTTTAAGAAAATTCTGTTTTAATTTTCATGCCCAAAGTCTACTATGTGCATGCTGTCTTTCAGCAAAAGTTTGTTATAGTTGTAAGTTTTCCAGGTACATTATAAAAATATGAATTTGAGTTTATAGATAAATGAAGGCAAGAGTGTATTCTTCCAAAGAACAAATATAAAATAAATAAAACAAAGCAAAGTAGTTATAAGCTAGGAAAAAAATGCCAAGTTCAGTCTTTCAGTAGTAAGCCACTTTAAGTAGTATTTGGTAACACCTAAAAAAGTCATGGCTGGACAGCATATCCATTAATTCCAGTAGGGTAGAGTTGAGAAAAACAGACACACAACTGCTCAGCCCAAAGCTGATACAACTGTGTGATTTCATCCAGTAGGATAAATTTGTATAATTTGGCAAGTAACATTGGTATCGGTTTTAACTTTGCCATTTTTTTGGCTGTTTTCCTAGATAATTTAGATCATTCCAAGTGAAATAATGTATAAATGATAGTTTAATACAAACATAAGCCTCAGAAAAGCAAATGTAAAGAGAGATAAAACAGGGGGAAAAC